GTCACGTGACCATTTGATTACGTCACAGCGAACTTCCTCATACGGGATGCGGTGGGGGGGATCTAACATAATCCGTGTTTAGAAAGGAGTACACCACAAAAAAAAGTTTTCGCACCTCTGCTTTAAATGTATATCAGAGAATAACTGTTCATTTTTCTGTCTGCTTCTCCTAGTATTTGTTAAAGCAATTTTACACTTGCTGGTACATATCATTCAGTTAAGGCGGTAAAAGTGAAACTAAAGAAATGGCATGTTTTTATCGCTAGGTTTGAGCCTAGAACTGGATCTCGAGGTTGACGAGTATACCGTGTTGTCACCAAGTCTGGGTTTTCGCGTGGTTATTCATCCTCCACAAACTCCAGCAAACCCCGAAGAAGATGGCTATGACATCAGCCCTGGCTTCGAGAGTTCTTTCGCTCTTAAACAGGTCAGTACATACGCACGAGCAGGCGTTAAATTTTCAAAAAACTTTTTTATAACTTTAAGCTTTTTCGGTTATGATAACAATAGTGTGATTTTTTTTTACTGGATTATAAGTGCTTATCTAAAACGTAATTCTTTAATTACCAAGATCTTCTGATCAAAAATAAGCTACCTATGTAGATAAAAAGTAATTTGTAAGTCATAACCGAATGAAGACGACAATATTTAAAAAACACACTAAAAATACTTAATGTTATAAATCAGTTTTAATATGCCAGAAAAATTAAGCCTCTGATGATTGTAGTGCATTGAATCGTTAGTTAGGTTTCAGTCTTCAAACAAATGAAATGTTATTTCTAAAGTAGCCTATACTTTACCATAACGTTTAACGTTATAACTATTTTGTTTGTTGAAGTTCGCGCAAAGCTACTCAAGGTATATTTGGGGTAGTCGTCCATAATTTAGAAGTGATAGACTAGAGGTAAGGCAACTAGTCAACACCGCCCACCACCAACTCTTGGGCTACTTTAAATCAATAGTGGGGTTGACCTTCACAGTATAACGCCCCCACGGCTGACCGGAAGAGCATGTTCGGGATTCGAACCTGCGATCCGAAAATTGCAAGTCAAACGCCATCATCTCCAAACCATGCCAGTCCCATTATAACTACTATCTATGTAACTTGTGGTAAAGTAGTTGGGTTCTACAGAAGTAGACTTACGTCTAACCTTATTTGTCAGATAACATCTAAATGTAATATAGGTTTGAAATAGTAAAAACAATGTGATATTCAGAAATTGTGACAAAAATAAGAAATATCTACTACTGTCATATTCTCAAATAAAATACAGATAAGTCACAATCGCAGTAATCAGAAGAACCCCAAAATATAGATGGCAGTGTGCCACTGATGTTCGCAGAATGAACACAGAATCATCTTAGAGTTGGGAATTGTCGCGTGTTGAAGATAAAGTTTAAGATTTACACACCAACACTGTTGAACTTGAAATAATACTGTTTATTCACTTACATTTTTGAATCATCTGAGTTTACAGAACCACACGAAACCAATATTTGATGAACTGGTCTTCTCCACGAAGACGATAATAAACATATCTTCTACTAAAGCTTATTTGTGTGACGACCAGGACAAGACTGATACAAATATCAATATTCAAATACACATGTACCCAATCAAAGAACAAAGAAATAACACTTCTCTGATTTAACCAATCATACACAAGCTGCAATTTCAATGGAAAGTTGGATAGCAGTACGTGAAGATCACCGTCCATTAATTTCCAGTCTAACAGTATAATAAACACAGCAATGCTATAAAAACAACAATATCATAAAAACAACAATATCATTAAAACAAAGAGATAATAAAGGGTTAGTGTTCTCAGGAGAAATGTTGCAGCTTTAAAGATTTACAGTAGTAAAGACTGAACTGTTGCGGACGACTGGGAATATCATAGAAAAAATTAGAATACTGTAGAATTAAAGTTATAGAAATGACACTTTGACTAACAACGCCACTATAGTAATGTGATGTGGAAATATGATACATCTTACTCCCCTATCGTAAACAATTCTTATCATACTAAATGCTTAAATTTTTCTTGAATTCTAAGTCGGAACATTGGATTGTTTATTTGTTTTTGAGTTTATTGCAAAGCTGTTGGAAGGTTATCTGCGCTAGCCGTCCCTAATTTTGAAGTAGTAAACTAGAGAGAAGAGTGATAATCAACACCGTCCACCGCCAACTATTGGGCTACTCTTTTACCAACGACTAGTGATATCGACCCTCACATTATAATGCCCCCACAGCTGAAAGTGCGATCACATTCGATGATGGGATTCGAACTTGCGACCCGTAGATTGCAAATCGAGTGATGCCCTAACCATCAGGCCATGCCAGAAGATTCAGTCGAGGCCATGTGTTAATTCGACGCTAGATGTTACTTTCTGAAATGGATTAGATCAAGTAGATTGTCTACGTTTCCATAAGATAACTAGGTTGTGATTCTCATTACCTTATGAACCTGGAACTATTCTACGGCTGTCACATGGAACAAGGATGTCTCCGGATACTAATAATCAAGTTTTGTTTTCGTTCATGGTGCATCTTTCTTAGATACGTGTACATTTATATGTAGATACTCTCATGTGAACCCTACTGTTTAAGTACCATATCGTACTGTAACGAACTGGTTGGGGGTATGTAGGTGTCAATAAATAGACACAGCCTTCTGAAGCGTATTTAGTCGCCTCAGAGTGAATGAAAATACGATTTTTTTCTGCGCCAGAATTTTACAGTATGGCGTTTACCTGGCCAGTACTATATATATAGAGGTATGATACTTGCCCATTCACATTGCACTGAGAAACGAGACCACTGCTTTTTCATTGTGTTTTTATACATCATGGTCGTATTAAGAATATTCATTTTACTGTTAATCTGCAAGTAGATATGACGACTTGTAAAATGAATGTGTTTGTGGTCAAGATTTGAGGTCATCTGGTTTAGCCAACCGAAGTCGATTATGAACAGATATTTTTCTGATATCAAAAAATTGAGGTCATTTAGTTTAGGCAACTAAAGTCGACCACGAACAGACAGTTTTCTTACAACTTTCTTCAGAGAGTTTAATGTTAGAAAGGATTAGAACAGCCCGATTGCGAATAAATAAAGATAAACTAGACGAAAGCGAATATTAAAAGAATCTGATCAAAATGCGTATCCTACGCAATGAGGTTGAAGAATCGAAGAAATTAAAAAATAAGAACGTTATATGTATCTAAACAAAATACAAACACGAAACAAGTGATATACGATTCTGTTAAGAATCACACGAGACACCTAAGGACCATTCTTTACTAAATTACAGTCAATTTTTATAGATTTACCAATAATAGTACAGAAATATTTATGGTTTATCACAAGTAAACTAGAAAAAGTCAGAAACGGATAAAAATCTACATTTATGTGTAAAAAGACAAAAAAACGAACGCAGTACCCATAAAGCCATTTCATTTTGCAGAGACTCCATTATGCGACATATTAAAACCATTAAATTTTAAGTTGTATCATGATTTATTGTGAATGTTAATGACGCATCGGCATCAGAAGATATCCACATTTATTATACGTTTAAATAGTCGTATGTTATTACAGGAGAAATTGGTGATAAATTATCCAAGGCAATATCTAGATATTAGCGAGTAGATTGCTTGCAGAGAATATAAATGTTTTGCAATTTTCTCGGGTGACATAACATCATCATCATCGTTAAAACTCAAAATGTTATCATTCCTCACGCAACAATGAGTTCGTTCAAAATAAACATGTTATGTACGTGTACATACATACCTGTTTAACGTATATTGACAACTTAGGTAGATTAAATGTAATATTTATAACTAGAAGCTCTTCTAAAAGTTCTTGGAAATCCACAAGTGGCTATACATTTACTGCACATACTGGTTCCCCCAACCTCTCGTTGTTGCGCTGATCAGATAACTTTGTTGTTGGTCCAACTTGAATCTTGGAGGAAAAGAGTGAAAGTATCATGTAGATCTTATGATGTGAAACAACCTTTCATACTGGTAACACCACACCCGAAGCTATTAGCTTTGTACACCACACCCGAAGCCATTAGCTTTGTACACCACACCCGAAGCTATTAGCTTTGTACACCACACCCGAAGCTATTAGATTTGAACACCACACCAGAAGCTATTAGCTTTGTACACCACACCCGAAGCTATTAGCTTTGTACACCACACCCAAAGCCATTAGCTTTGAACACCACACCCGAAGCTATTAGCTTTGAACACCACACCCGAAGCTATTAGCTTTGTACACCACACCCGAAGCTATTAGCTTTGAACACCACACCGAAGCTATTAGCTTTATTCACCAAACCCAAAGCCATTAGCTTTGAACACCACACCCGAAGCTATTAGCTTTATTGGTGCTAAACTGGTACGTAACCATTTCTCGAATGAGATTTTTATATTGTTTTATATCTTGGGAGTACGTAGCGAATGTTATGTTTACATGTCGTTTCATGGTAAAAAACATAATATCAAATAGAGTGTTTAAACCATTTTAACAATTATATGTTCCAAAAATTCAGGTTCAGCTTGTTGTAAGTAGAGAAGTTAAGGTGACATTTCCATAGTGCGGATAGTAATATATCCTTTAAATTGCTCTAATATAGTATTCCGAGCGTAAAAACCAAGAACGTCAGGTTATTTAAAACGTGGATACCATTATTACCTGTTCAATGCCAAATCTAAGTGATCACGAAAGTTTGCTCGTGCAAGAGGCTGTACCCGTGATATTCAACATTTGAATTATATACACATGTTTTGCTTTTCCTGACTTTTTTTTTCTTGTTTGTCCGTTGATATAGGTAGTGAACGAATTAATATTTTCCGTCATGCTCATTGTATGTTTTATGCACACATTGAATAATAGGTTTAGTAACGTATAGTTTCGCGATCATTAGCCAAGTGTGAAACAAATATCATTATGTCGTTAATCACGGCGTTTAAAAGAAATTATTGTTTCTGATAACAAAGCCCTAATGACATGAACATATAAATAAGATCAATGTTTTGTTTTGTCTGTGCGTTTGTGTGTGTCAGACGCATAATCATAAGAAACGTTCATTATGCATACATAAAACGACCACCGCGTATACCGTAAGATCAAGATGTCTTCCGGCAAGTTGAGTGTTATTTCTAATATAGATAACACGTGTAATGCAAAACTAACCAGCTAATATAAGACTTTTAGAATACAAAACTGTTAAGGAAGAATTTTCGTTTATTGGTTATATGAATTGAATATATATATAATTTTGCTTCACTTGATCTGTAAGACTGCCTATATAGCCAATGTAAATACCTGCTTGTTGTTTATACTAGACCACTATTACGAGGTTGCCCTCACCTTTCAATGACAACTGCCACGAGTATGGAAAGAAGTCATACAAGAGCGACCTAACAGACATCAAGTTTACGTCAGGTAGCCAAGAAGTAAGTTCCATTGATACCAGACATTATTTTAGTTTGTTTTTCCACCACCAGACATTATTTTAGTTTGTTTCTCCACCACCAGACATTATTTTAGTTTGTTTTTCCACCACCAGACATTATTTTAGTTTGTTTCTCCACCACCAGACATTATTTTAATTTGTTTTACCACAACCAGACATTATTTTAGTTTGTTTTTCCACCACCAGACATTATTTTAATTTGTTTGTCTACCACTTTAAATATTTTTTTTTATGTGTAGGAATTTTTAATGAATTTACTTTTTAATGGAATATTAATTTGATTCCCCTGGTGAAATAAGGCAGTTCCACCAAAGCATAGTGTTTGCTATTATTAAAAATTGACATTTCTACAGGCAACATTTTTGCAGCGCCCACCATACGGTGGGGGGGGGGGGGACAATACATTTTCACGCTCTCAAGTAATTAGATGGGGGCGGTCATAAAAGTAACGTTCAAGGAATAATTCGGTATAAATTTATGTCGCACTGAGCGTATTTCTTATTAATTAGTGCGTATGAAGACCCCCTAGTTGAAATCAGAAAGTTTAATCGTCGTTAGTTCTTTCAGTTAATTGAGTATAACATTATGTCAGACAGTGAAGCCAACCTGGGAACAAACTGTTGAATATTGTCACAGTATGCGTTCACGGTTTCCATTGACATTAAAGTCATCTTTTCTTTGATTAAAATTTCCGTTAAACGTTTCTCAAAATAAAGCAACCGCCTGCTGTGGCGTTCCTGTCAGCAAACTTCAAACTAAGCCTATCAGGTGTCTCTTCATTAAACACTTCACGGAAATGGGGAAACTTGAAATTTAAGTCCTGTTTTATAGGCCGATAATTTTACCAGACTTTATATGCTATTAGAACGTGTCTACGAAGAAATTACATAGACTTTATATGAAAGAAGTGCTAGAAATGTAGTTCAGAAAAGTAATTTGATTAATTATTTGTTGATTTTGCATCAGTTGCTGTTTATCTAAACGTTAGCATTAATTTAAAAACTGAAATTAGATGAGCAGAATCAGTGATTGACATTGGGAATTTAGCAGAGGGTTTTACTTTTTATCTTCTATATTTTGGTAATATAAATTTAGTATATTAGATTACATAAATATTTGCAGGTTTTTATTAGATTTTCTTTTTTCAGTTAAACCATTCAACTAGATTCTTTATATTAATGAGTTGTATATAACCAGCGCCCCCTGGATAGTGTTCTTTCAAGTTTAGTGCATATTTCAATTTGCTTGAACACACTTTAAAAATGAATGATTTCTTTTTTCAGTCATTATATAGCGGTTTCCCGAGTTCCTAATTATTCAAAATTTACTGTAACGTACGTTTCATTCACAAGTGATGAAAGCGTTTCCATGGAAGCCCTGCAGTTTATAAAAACTTTCATAAAAGGTTTTTCACACTATTCTGTTATTACTCTGCGGCTTTACCCCAAACGTTACTAAAAACGTTTTATTTTGTGTGCAACAAACCAAAGTTAAAGGATCTGGATAGTTAATAATAATAAAATGAGACCATAAGGAAAAATGCCCTTGTTCACAAATAAGAATTAGAAGGAAAAAAGAAAATATTTTAATAAAATAAGCTGACTCATTACGTCCTTAAAAGTTAAAGTTTGTTTGTTTGTTATTAAGCACAAAGCTACATTACGTCCTTGAAAATTAAAGATACAACTTAAGCTGACTCATTACGTCCTTGAAAGTTAAAGTTTGTTTGTTTGTTATTAAGCACAAAGCTACATTACGTCCTTGAAAATTAAAGATACAACTTAAGCTGACTCATTACGTCCTTGAAAATTAAAGTTTGTTTATTTGTTATTAAGCACAAAGCTACATTACGTCCTTGAAAATTAAAGATACAACTTAAGCTGACTTTTTAACTTTATAGTGGATAAAGTAATTGATATTTACTAACGTTAAGGATAAGATTTATTGTAACATTAAAATACCATGTGTTTTATCTCTATACTTTTACTACTATAATTCAACATTAAATAGCTCGACAAACAAATTAACTTTACATGTTTCTTCAGTAATGTTAGGGGGTCTCCATCCAAAATAATACTAATAATAATTTAACTCAAAATTGTAATATTTTTATTCGTTCAAAACCGCATTGAAATATCAACTATAAATATACTTACAACGTTAATGAAAATACTATTACTTCTCTCTAATGGTCTATCGTTGAAGATAGTCTATAGATTGGTGGAAGATAAACCCCCCCCCCCCCATAACACACGCATATATATACTGTTGAATTTTTGGGATTAGACCAAAATAAAGATATTTTTTAATTTTCTAACGGTTAAATGTACCAAAGGTAAGATTTTACTTAGGACTTTCCGTTTACAGAGTGGCATACAAATGAAAGTTTGAAGTCCATGAACAACTCTGTACGTACATTTAACCTAATTTTGTTACTTGGCATTCCGTTGAGTCATACCCGTGTATTTGTTTTGATAAAACGTAATAAAGAATAAATTGATACGTCTAAATGAAAACTTTGTGTAGTTTAGTTTTTGCATCGTTTCGAGCGTTAGCCTTTCGTCAGGCAGTAATTACCGTGTAACAATGGAATTAGATTCAGAAAGAATCGTTGAAAGGTAAGATAATACGAATGTAATTAGAGCCGATTCTTTCTGAAGGTTGAAAGGTAAGATAATACAAAGGCTCTAATTAGACACGTTCAACGTGGAGCGCGGGAACAAAAGTACAGATAAAAACATTATTGAACTTATTACGTATATATTATTAAAATGAAAAAGAAGTAGCTAGAAGAACTAAAATTGGATTTAGAAATATAAACACGGGAAAATATAATAAATATAAGTTCGCAAAACAATAGATTAATAGACTAGCAAAATAAAATAATAATCCAAAGAAAGAAATATGTCCTACGTGATTCTAATCCCATGCTAGTAACTACTGAAAGACACATCTTTCTTTCACGAATACTGACAATATCATATTTCTTCATGTATATTTCTCTTGCTTTTCAGTTCCCTGTTAGAAAACTAGCATATACAAATATATATATATATGTATGTGTGTGTAACAAATTACAGAGGATGACTGAGTTTTGCTCTGTACTTTTCAAAAGATATCCCCCAGAGAGTTTAGTCCTTTTTTCTATTGTTATCTATGCTCTTGAGAACACAACAATGATTATTTTTTATTCCAATGAAAACTATAGTTCGACCGCAGGGCGTACATCGTCAAGCACCATAACACATTTTTAATTGTTTGTAAAGTACTGTTGGACTCGGAGTATACATAAACAATGGGTGTTTAGCTAGAAGATGCCATTAGAAATAACAAAAGGGCAAAAATTAAGAAGACATTCAACTCAGTACTAATTCAATACCCTTTTACTCAATACTAATTCAATACCCTTTTACACAGTACTAATTCAATATCCTTTTCGAAAAAAAAAAACGTTGATATTATCAAAGATAATTATCCCAATAAAAATGTATTTAGAGTGAACACTTAGGACAATACTTAATCCTGTGGAACGTTTGTTAACAATGAACATTTAGAACAATATTTAATCCTGTGGTGGAACGTTTATTAACAATGAACCTTCAGAGCTAGATATATTCCTGTAAAACGTTTGTTAACAATCAACCTCTAGAACAGTGTTTAATCCTCTGAGATGTTTGTTGACAACGAACTTCTAGGACAATACTTAATATTGTGGAACGTTTGTTAAAAATTAACGTTTAGAACAACATTTAAACCTGTGAAACGTTTGTTAACAAAGGAACATTTAGAACAATATTTAATCCTGTGGTGGAACGTTTGTTAACAATGAACCTTTAAAGCAAGATATAATCCTGTGGAACGTTTGTTAACAATGAACCTTTAGAGCAAGATATAATCGACTGAAACGCTTGTTAACAATCAACCTTTAGAACACTGTTTAATCCTCTGGAACGTTTGTTGATAATGAACCTTTAGAACATTATTTAATTTTTTGGAACATTCATTAACAATGAATCTTTAGGACAATACTTAATCATCTGAAACGTTTGTTAACAAACTATTTTTACTCTACAATTAACTTCAATTCATAAATTAAGTATCTATAATAACTAAAAGGCAGAAAGAATTGATATTTGATTGAAACTGAAACATGACCAAACTTACTAACACAGCTCAATATATTCTATGAATTTAAGAGTTTTTGTTTGCAAACGGTTTGATTTAAATGTACATACGACAAAGGTGAATGGTTACTAGAGGCTATTGTACGTGTGTAGCACACCGTCTAACAGGAAACTATCGTTGTTATGAATAAATTAATTTGAATTTGAGCATTAACCTCTTAAAAACAACAACAAAATATTCACTATAAAACTAACCATTGTTATGGAATTTAAGTTTAATTTGAAGAACGTATAGTATTATTTGTTCTCGTGAAAGTATTTAGAGAATATACATAAATACAAATTAATGTTGACATGACAGAAGTCTCTAAAGGTCATACTTTAATGTTCATGTTTGGCATTTCGATTGTAGAATGTGTTGAATATTTTCAGTGTATAGAAAATAGAAAATAAACTTTGAAAACACATGAAGCCTATATTCACTAATTTCAACTGATTACTGTTCATAACTTAGAATCATATCAAGCGGTAAGTCTTTGGATTTACAATGCTAAAATCAGGGGTTTGATTCCCCTCGGTGGACACAGCAGATAGCCCGATTTCTGTACACCACCTACAAAAGCATGGAGTTATTTTTCACTTTAAATTTCACCACCTGTTTAAAGATGTCCGTCACAGCTGCAGGAATAGATGTTTTCTGTCACAGCTGTAGGAATAAATGTTGTCTGTTATAGCTGCGGGAATAGATGTTGTCTTCAACCATCATGCTTACACAGAAAAATGTTGACCAGACGTTTATAGGGCGTTATTTTAAAAGTAAAACGTGTTCATATCTCTTCCTCTGTACGTCTGTTAATAAAGAAGTAATTCTTAAAAAATATATCTAGTTATTTACGACTTTGAAACTGTGACCAGATTTGTAACTAGTTGCAAATTAAATCTATAAGAAATATAAATATTTCTTACTTATTTTTTAATATTCCGAAGTTATTCGATAGGAAGGCACTTTGTGACATTAGAATTTCATTTAGATAATTAATCAATGGTTTTGTCTTGGTCGAAAATAATCTGATCTAAAAATTACGAAGGACCAGGAAAGAATATACGAGTTCCTGTTGTTAAGATGGATTAAGATAATAAATGCAATTTAGAATACCATAATGTATTAAAATTCATCTGTTTTTTTTTTTTTGGTTTCTCATAGTCATGCATTAAAAAGTGTCTTCATCTGGAGAGTCTTCGTAGATGTGAGTGTACAGATCCTTTTCTGTCAGTTGACCCCCTTTCGGAATCCTGTGATTTGTCAAACCGCAGCCAAGGTAAATAAACTAGAAGATAATATCAGTCGTTTAGTTGGCCTTAAATACGCAGTGATCTGCTACATAAAACTTGTAATTTTCTTTTATTTTATTCGACGTTCTTCAGGCAAAGCATATTATTATTATTATTACGAAATTATTACACGTGTAGCTTTATATACTTGCAGCTACTGAAACAGCGTCATCCACAGCCTGATGATGACAAAACCTTGTAGAAACGTTGTACATTTGCTGTTATGTTAAACTTATATTAAAGTTTTTCTTCATTACCCATTCAAGCCGTCTCCAACCATTATTAGTTTCAAAGTGGGTTCCTCGTCATCGAATTTGACAGTCCATATTGTGTCCACCGCGGGGATCCCTATAGATATGTTAGAAAAAATATCAATTAATTTAGAATCAACTTAATAATAATTTTAAAAACAGTTACCTAAATTATTACATATGTATTTTTTTTTTATCTTACGTCGTATTTTGACAGACATTCTTTTTTCTTGTTTTGTCACTGCGATACTTGAATGTATGAAACATATTTGGCCAACATAGTTCCAGATGAGGCTTAGTATATTCTACAACTCTTTCTTGCAGTTTGTTGTCTGGATGATGTCTTAAACTACTTTAAAACTAACGACCTGCCTTGTGATTGTCCTCTGCCATGCCGGTAAGACTTTCTGAATTTATATGAAACTAAGATACTTCGTGATTTCTCCAAGTTACTTGATCACTCTTCAAATAAGCATAATTTTAAGTTCGGGAGCAATGTATATAGTTTTAAATATATTTTTTTTATTACGTTTTCATGATTAACGATAGAGAAAATATTACAACTGTAGACATTGATTACAAGTGAATTTTATTTGGATTATGTGCAGATTTTTGTGACTACTTTTTACTTCACAAAATATTAGCAGTAACTGTGCGCTAACCGTCTAACGACTACTTATAAGTCCTCATACACTTCTACCCTCCTCAATCTAATAGTAACTGTTCAGGAGGGTAGAAGTGTTTGAGAACTTATAAGTAGTCATGAAAGGTTAGTGCACAGTTACTGTTAGATTGAGGAGGGTGGAAGTGTATGAGAACTTATAAGTAGTCATTAGACGGTTAGCGCACAGTTACTATTAGATTGAGGAGGGTGGAAGTGTATGAGAACTTATAAGTAGTCATTAGACGGTTAGACAATCTAACAGTAACTGTGCGCTAACCGTCTAATGACTACTTATAAGTTCTCAAACACTTCTACCCTCTTCAACCTAACAGTAATTGTACGCTAACCGTCTAACGACTACCTATAAGTTCTCATACATTTTCACCCTCCTCAATCTAAGGAGGGTTGAGCTACTCGACTCTTCTTCTGCTCTGCTAGGCAATAAATAAATAAACATGGTATGATGTTAGAGAAAGAAAAAAATTCAACGATGTTACTGTTTTTGCAGTAAAACTTATTATGACGTGTCAACTTCGAGTGCATGGTGGCCATCACCGTTGGAACACAATTATCTCGTAAGTATAAAGTCTAGAATTCAATCCATACTGTAAGATAGTAGTGTTGGCAATGAAGATCACAGTATTTGAAACGAAGATACATATAATTAAGAACTTCTTTTTAAAGTTAAAACATACTGATAATAAGATGTAATTCTTAACATTTTTTATTTATAGTAAATGTGAAATAGATAATCGCTTATTAAAATTACCTCTGTATTATTTTCTAAGCAGAAAGCAACAAGAATGCTTTTCTTAGTGTTCGTAAAAAATTGACAGTGAATTTAAAAAGGTTAATTGTAGTATAGAAGTTTCCAGTCAGCAAAAAAAGATATCATGAATACATTGTTAGGTTCAAAACTTGTGATAGAAGGCTATTGAATCTTAGCTAATCTGAATTATTAATTTATATTATTAGCATATTTATTTCGTAGGATTTTTAATCGTGTCTGTAGAACCTAGAATTATGTGTTCCTTATTTAACTGTCCCCCCTGTAGTTCGGCAACAGATCTTATGGTTTTAATACCCGCGGCGGGTATAGTACAGATAGCCAATTGAATAGCTTTATGTTTCACAACAAACAAACAAAACAAACATGTTTTTCTTCCATAAGCCCGAATCTAAAATTTTCGTATGCAGAAAAAAAATTGTGTTATAAGATTGATTAGATGTAGGAAGATAGTTAGATTTCTTTACTAAATTGTGTTATAAGATTGATTAGATGTAGGAAGATAGTTAGATTTCTTTACTAAATCTTGGTTATATATCGTATCTCATTTCAGATGTTTGCCTAACGATCGTATCTCATTTCAGGTGTTTGCCTAACGACAGTTAAAATGCAATAGGGCCATGGTTAACGGCCTGAACTGTGGATCCGAGGATGTGGCCCCATTACCTCCAAAAATATATATAATAAACAAAAAATCACGCTTTTCAATCTGGGGCCTTGTGTGCGTTATAATGATGACGGTCAAAATCCACTGTTCGGTCAGACAAGAGCAGTCCAAGAGATGGTTCTGGTTGCTGTTGGCTAGCCGCTTTCTCTCAAGTCTATCAGTTCAAAATTAGGAGCGGCTAACGTAGGTAGCCCTTGAATAGCTTTTCTCGAATATCCGAAAACAAACAGAAATTCAGGATACACATTTGTTCTTGTCGATCAGCCATAACTCAGTGGTTAGCGTGTCGGGCTGCAAAGCGAAGGGTATAGGGTTCGAGACATAATGTTACTGAATACGCTCCGTATTTTCAGCTGTGGATGCATTATAAAAGTTACAGTCAATTACATTAAAAGAGCCCGAAAAAGCCCTTGTGGCGATGGGTGCTTTGGCAGATGCCTTTCTTCTGGCTAATAGTTGAAATTCAGGGATAGCTATATGGATTTTAGCGGTTTTCGATCGTTTATCCCACATGTGCATAAAGTGTTTTCAGGTTAAAAATTATAATTCCTGTTTGTGAGTAACCCTAGTTTAATGATAAGATAAATCCTTACTCACGTTCATAGTATTTTAATGTATTTTCCTCGCATTCACATGACAAATAAGTGAATTACTACAACTGATCTCCACAACACTTTTAATAAGACATGAATGTGAAAGATATGTTCAAGTAATTCAAGATTCTTTTAAAAGCCTTGTTATTACGTGAGATCTGTATCATGCAGTATTGTTGTGTTAACGAGTTGTTTCTTTGTTTGTTTTGAATTTCGCGCAAAGCGCTAGCCATCCCAAATTTAGCAGTGTAAGGCTAGAGGGAAGACAGCTAGTCATCCCCACCCACCGCCAAATCTTGGACTACTCTTTTACCAACGAATAGTGGGATTGAACGTCACGTTATAACGCCCCCCCCCCCACGGCTGAAAGGGCGAGCATGTTTGGTGTGACGGGGATTCGAACCCGCGACCCTAACCACCTGGCCATGCCGGGCCTGTGTTAACGATGAGAAAATGCTGGTTAACTTTTTGAAACTGTTAAGGTTTTCAGCTATATTCAGCATTCTGGCTTTTTCATATTAAGATTTTCCAAGTTGTACTACCTAACACATTGACTTATTACGTATAGTGAAACCTATACTCCTAGACACACTTCTGTAGGGTCCCCGAAAGTGTTCGGTTTCAAGAGAAAATAAAGCCAAAATTAAGAGTAACTAATATTTTTATTTCTTGCTTTCGAAGTTCATATATCATGCTGTGCTGTAGCATACAGAATGCATAATTCTTCTCGTGATTCATGGTATGCGCACGTTTTACTGACGTCAAGACAGTACCAACTGCAACATTAGGCGTCTCTTATGTGACGTCATTTTAGTGTCTATTGACTGATTGACAGACAACACACTACTGTATAGTGGTGCGAATGGTTAAAACAGGTGATCCTCCATACAGCGCTTAGCCCCCTTTCAGGAAAATGACAGTATGAAGATAAAGTTCAACTACAAATGGATCCACCACGAATTTTAAATTGGCTTTGGTTATTGTATGACTTGCTGAATGAGTGGCATATAGTTACAAATGACGGAAGCTCTTGGCAGGCAAGACAAGTCGGTCATAAATGTCACCAATGAAACTTTTTGTGTTCTTAGGAAATAAATATGTAAAATATAGTAAAAATACGTATAAATATGAAGACTGTACCTCACGTATAGGAATATAAATCAATTATAAGTATTTTTCTCTTAGATTTTTTTCTGTCAACAAAATATTTTAATAATTATTAATTTTATTTTTAAGCGCAAAGCTGCACAATGGGTTATCTCCTTTGTGCCCACCGGAAGGATCGAACCCCAAATTTAAGTATTATAAGTCTTCAAACTTACCACTGAGCCATCGGGGACAAATGTGGAAAAGCACGAATGTTTGAGCTAGTTTTAGAACTGGAAATCCTCAAGAACTGTGTCCTAATAAGAGTACAGAGTTTATTAAAGCTTAAAAAAACGCATTTTTTGTCTTAATGTTTTTTGTAAGACGGAATTTCATGATATTATGTATGGGGTCTACTTTTGTAATCATTCGATAACCACACATTGGTTTCTTGGGATTCATATAGGTGCGTAAGGAAACCTACAGACAGCGAAGGTCAGTGCCTGCCTCACAACTCACTCCATTTCCCTCACCAAGAGATAGCGGCGGGATGTCAACTTTCCAGAAGATTAGGTATTCTAGAGTTTTCTTTTAAAATAAGTTATAAACTAGAATTAGCTATAAGTGGCTGATTAACTACGCTAGCATAAAAAATATCATTTAGAAATAATATTTTATCAAGCTTTGTGGCTTTTTTTTTATCTTGGTATCAGAGCTAACCTGTTCTTTAAATTTCCCCAATGTTCAGTTAGACATGATTAAACTATGCCAGGAATTATTGAAAGAGGCAGATATGGTAAATACGTACGTAGTTGGAGATCGTGGAAATCTCGTTAATCTAATACGAACAATTACTGGTTAATATAACGTCAACTTTGTTAATGTAATACTACTTATAGTTTTCAAATTTTAGTTTTTAAAAAAAAGTTCGTTCGTTTCATTCAACCATTTGTGAAGAGGTTGAGTAAAATTTTAATATATTCAAGAAACTGGGCCATATAACATTATTAGTCTTGTTTAAATATGACCATACATTAATAAATATATACTTACATATTATGTTGGGAGAATTTGCAAATTATTGACCATCATTATCATATCTAGAACTGGTATGAGATGATAATGTCTCCATACTAGATATAGTCCAATAGGTAATACATACGTTAACATTTATTGTAAAAGCCTGATATATATACTTTTCTGCTCTACTATTATATAAGCTTCAGAAACCAAAACATCTTTGAAGTGCTGCCATGAGCATCTCTACAAGCAAAGTTCTTTAATTTTGAAAAAGGAGAAACTAGTTTATCAGCAACTTTAAGATAGAGTAATATAATCTGTTTATACCCTCTTTAGTACCTTGGGACTCTCTATCAGCAACTTTAAGATAGAGAGTAACATAATCTGTTTATACTGTCTTTAGTACCTTGGGACTCTCTATCAACAACTTTAAAATAGAGAGTAATATAATCTGTTTATACCCTCTTTAGTACCTTGGGACTCTCTATCAGCAACTTTAAGATAGAGAGTAATATAATCTGTTTATACCCTCTTTAGTACCTTGTGACTCTCTATCAACAACTTTAAAATAGAGAGTAATATAATCTGTTTATACCCTCTTTGGTACCTTGGGACTCTCTATCAGCAACTTTAAGATAGAGTAATATAATCTGTTTATACTGTCTTTAGTACCTTGGGACTCTCTACCAACAACTTTAAGATAGAGAGTAATATAATATGTTTATACCCTATTTAGTACCTCGGGACTCTCTATCAACAACTTTAAGATATAGTAATATCATCTGTTTATACTTTTTTTAGTACCTTAGGACTCTCTATCAGCAACTTTAAGATAGAGTATTATAATCCGTTTATATTCTCTTTAGTACCTTGGGACTTATGCCTTACAATGGGTCTTCATTAAAATACAAAAAATACATATAATGCTTACATCAAAAAACAAACCAACTTACAATAGCTATGAAACTTTAAATTACCAGCATTAGTATAAATATGGAAATACGACAGTCACTCCTCAGCCATTAAAATAGAAAATATAATATTTCAAATCATTGTTTTCTTTTCATAAAAACTGAAGAGTGAAAATTATGTTCTTGTATATACATACATGTTGTTTGTGATTATAGGATGTCGAAGGCTAAAGTAAAGGTCTACTTCCAAACCCTGGAACACGTGCTGTACAAGCAAGTGCCTGTTTTCCAGGTAATCATACCTTATTTTACATACAAGTGCCTGTTTTCCAGGTAATAATATTTCATCTTACACACAAGTGCCTGTTTTCCAGATAATAATATTTTATCTTACACACAAGTGCCTGTTTTCCAGGTAATCATATCTTATTTTACTTACAAGTGCCTGTTTTCCAGATAATAATATTTTATCTTACACACAAATGCCTGTTTTCCAGATAATAATATTTTATCTTACATTGTATCTTACACAGAAGTACCTATTTTCCAGATAATGATATTGTATCTTACACACAAGTGCCTGTTTTCCAGGTAATCATATTTTATCTTACACACAAGTGCCTGTTTTCTCGGTAATCATATTTTTATCTTACACGCAAGTGCCTGTTTTCCAGATAATCATATTTTATCTTACACACAAGTGCCTGTTTTCCAGGTAATAATATTGTATCTTACACACAAGTGCCTGTTTTCCAGATAATCATATTTTATCTTACACACAAGTGCCTGTTTTCTCAGTAATCATATTTTATCTTACACACAAGTGCCTGTTTTCCAGATAATCATTCCACTTTGAAACTCATGGAAAATGTTCAAGCTGTATATAGTACATACATGAACGGTACAATTAGGGTAAGCCTTCGTTTTGTGGGAGCCTGACAATTGAGAAATTTGGGGTGGGGGAGAAGGTGTGAGTAAATTTTTCACTACAAATAACATCATCTTCCACAAACATAAAATTATCTGTCCAGAAAATGAGAAAAGAGGCAATTAAATAGACTAATTTCTGTTCTCCACAGTGTATCAGCTGTAGATTCTAGGTGCTGTGAAACTACGTTTGACACATATAGCTAGCCTGCCATTATTCATGAATGATACATAATATTTTCGGTCATAATGATATATATACTATTTGCATACCTTTTTCCCATGTTTATTTCTCAAGACTTTTCTGTTTAGATTTTTTAATACTTGCTCCTCAATGGCTCAGCTGTAAGGCTGCGGGCTTACGACGCTAAAAATCGAATTTTGATACCTGTAGCGGAAAAGCACAGATATCCCATTGTGTAGCTTTGTACCCAACAACAACCATGGCATAGTACGGACTCTAAACATCAGTTTTGTGTTCAGACAGTGAATAACCATATATTTCTACGTGCCATAGCTAATTTTTTTTTAAGAGGAGAAGATATATGTATGTGTGTTTTATATCTTCTGAAATAGACCAACTTTTAAAGTTGATGAGACTCGTTAGACAAAATCTAACATAAAAAGTTGAAAAAATTAAAGATATTCAAACACGTTCTCGGTAAATAATTTTCCATTAGAATAATAGTAAATCAAGGTTAAGTATTTATTTTAAAATTTTACTCTTTGTTTTGGGAATTCGCGCAAAGCTACACAAGCCGTCTCTAATATCGAACTAACAGAGGAATGACAACAACAGCAACACCACCTACTGGCCACTTTTGGACTGCTCTAATCGAGTAGTGGTATTTGACTTTACTTTTACAACGCACTCACGGCCTCAGAGTACGGAGCACTATTTTGTCGCAACAAGACGCGAACCATGGATCTTCAGATCCACTGTCTAGCACGCTAACTACTAGGTCACACCAGACCCTAGAATTATGAGCAAAGATACATAAGGACTATCTGTGCATAACCGTTCCTAATTTTAAACTGATAAACTAAGGATAGGGCAGCTAGTCAGTAGCACCCCCACCTACTCTTTGACGACTCTTGACTGATCGAATAAAGGATTTAACTGTCACTCTTATAGCGTACCAAAGTGCGAAGCGCGTTTTTGTGGCAACAGGTCGCAAATCAAGATTATACAGATTCATAGTTAGGGTGCACCATCCACTAGGCCACTTCCGACCTTCTAAGCATTTAAAAATTAGCCCAACATTTAATTTCTTTGCATCATTTTATGCCTTAAATAATTCCAAGCGATGTAATTAGGATGTTTTCATGCAAAACATATCTGATATGAGTATTTTTATGTTTGTTTCGAAGTTTATTCTTCTTTGATTTCTAAGTTAACTCTTATTTCATAAGTGAAATTATTAGTTTAGGTTAAAATATTAGGTCGTCAAGTAATTAATGTCACGTTTTGGAACACCTTTATTAACCATCCCCCAAAAACGTACATCACGTATAACATTTAAACGAACCGCTTAAACGTCACGTTAGTGTAGCTTATATAATGTGTAAAGTTTAGTATACTCTAATCCCTTATAGCGATGGTGCACGACGAGACACACATTCGTCATGTAATGCTGTTTGAATATAAGAAGTGAAACAACGCCTCTGTAGCCACAAAGAATATCAAATAAGTTTATGGAAATGTTTTGAACGTTCGTAAGTGTCAACAACGGTTCAGCAAATTTCGTTCAGGTGACTTTAGCCTTATAAACTGTGACGGCAGGGACCGGCATGTTGGAATTGATATTGATGCTCTAAAGACACTTGTTGAGTCTAACCCAAGGCAACACACACGTGAACTGGCCCTGAAATTGCATGTCTCTCGTGAAACAATACGTAAACATCTAAAGAATATGGGAAAACTCCATAAAGAAGGTGTTTGGGTGCCTCACGAACTCTCCGGTGATCTTAGTTTCCAACATGTGAACATTGCTTCATATCTTCTGGCGCGTAATGCGCGTGAACCATTTTTGGACAGAATTGTCACTGGTGATGAGAAATGGATTCTCTATGCGAATATTAAACGCCAAAAACAATGGCCCAGTCCTAGACAAAAACTACTTGCGACCCCAAAACCTGGACTCCATCCGCAGAAAGTGATGCTTTGCATTTGGAGGGCCATCAAAAGAGTAATTCATTTCGAACTCCTCAATCCACAGCGAACTGTCAATGCAGAGATCTATATTCAGCAACTGGAACGCTTAAATCAAGCCCTTCGTCAGAAACGCCCTTCACTCGTCAATAGGAAAGGTGTTCTTATTCTCCACGACAATGCACGTCCACATGTGGCACGTTTGACGCAACAAAAGATTATGGAATTGGGTTGGGAAGTTCTCCCCCACCCACCATATTCTCCAGATATGGTACCATCAGATTACCACATTTTTCGTTTGCTGGAACACCATCTTAATGGGAAAACGTATGCAAATGTGGAAGGTGTTAAATAGAACATCGACATGTGTTTTTTGCTTCAAAACCAAGTGATTTTTTAATCAGGGTATTAACAAACTGATTGTAAAATGAAAAAGCGTCATCGATAAGAATGGAGACTATTTCATTTAATTAACAAATGTTTTGTTTTGATATATAAGTTGTTCGAGTTTTTTCATCTAAAATAAAACCGACATTAATTTCTTGACGACCTAATATCAACGGCTTATAATTCTTTGCCACAATTTTTTGAATAACTTTACAAAGAATTATAAGCTTTGCTCTCCGTGAGTAAAAACAGACGTGCTATTCGCTAAACATATGAGTGATTCTAGGAAAACTCCCCCGATAATTGTCTCCCAATAGAATCCCCCCACACACAAGATACAAGTTAATGTATTTATATTTTATTTCAACATCATTTTGTAGAATAAACATATAGTTATGAGTACATAAGACACCTCTTTTACAAAAAACAACAACAACAACAACACAATGTGCATACATTTAAAACTAAAGAAGATCGTACTAAAGAAGAACAGCTGAACTATAGGTATTTGTGATACAAATATTATCGTAATAAATAAATAATAGAGACATGTCTTGAACTGTCCGAACAATTTCATTGTTTGTTTGTAATTAAGCACAAAGCTATAGAATGGAGTTATCTGAGCTCTACCCACCACGGATATCGAAACCCGGATTCTAACGTTGTAAGTCCGCAGACATACCACTGTGCCACTGGGGAGGGGGGGGGGGTCCGAATAACCACACTTATTCGTAATAAATGGGGCCGTTATGTATTTCTTACGAAAAACAAGAACATTATGACAACTCGTGATAATTAATTATGAACAGTAAAATCAAAGATAAATTATATATTTCTCGTTCATAAAATAATTGAGATAACAAGTACTTGCACAGAAGAAAAAGCGTAATATTTAGGCTACAATTTGTGTTTCAATAAAAGTTGTGCATACAACATTGCTGCAACGTTGTGAAAACGTTTTCGTCCTTTGTAAATTTTCAAAAGCATAAAGACATATATTTACAATTAACGTCTAACAACGCCACAACGTTGACACAGCATATAATGCATGACGTTGTGGATTTTATCAATGCACGACTATTCAGCAAAGTTGTAGAAGCGTTGTGTGTTAGCTGGGTTAATGTCAAGTGATTATAAATACAATGTTTTAAATTTTGGGATGCAATTATATTGGGCGGGGGACAATTATTGAGGGGTAGGGGACAATTTTTCTGATGCCCATATGAGCAGGTTTCAAGTGTTTTTATCAGCAGGTTTAAATTTTTAGATGTAATATTTATGGTTGTACGACATTCTACTGTCTATGACTGTCGCGACATTTTACTATCTATGACTGTCACGACATTCTACTGTCTATGACTGTCACGACATTTTACTGTCTATGACTGTCGCGACATTTTACTATCTATGACTGTCACGACATTCTACTGTCTATGACTGTCACGACATTTTACTGTCTATGACTGTCACGACATTCTACTGTCTATGACTGTCACGACATTCTACTGTCTATGACTGTCACGACATTTTACTGCTGGCAAGGGATGCAGCAATTAATTATTTCATTTGAAGGTTTTTTTGCATGTATAGAAATTATATTATCGGAATATTATAAAAAACTATCATGATGTCAAAAAAACCTTGAACACGAAAATTACGTCATACAAATTTGTTACCCGTGGAAACATAAATAACTGTGCATGTATTTGCTATATAGTGATGGCCTTTTTAAAAATCCCAGCAAATTATTCAATTACTTTGTTACTCTGTTTTTCCAGCAACTTATTCAATATCATTATGTTTAATGCGATAGTTTATTAGTTCATTGTAAAATTTGATAATAATCTCGTTCACTGTGCTAGGAAATGTTTTGAGAACATAATTATTTGCCGACAGTAAAATACACCGGTAGTCATTTTACTACGGCAGTAAAATGTCGCGGCAGACATATGTCAACAGTAAAATATAGTGGTACTAATATTTATTTATATATATATTATTTTTTCTTTGGGTACAAAGACTTCATTTAATACATGTGAAAAAAAAATGGCACATAAAGAAAATATTTCAGACTTTATTAGAACGACAAGGAAGGGGGACACCTGTTTAAAGTTCTATTCTTTAATTGAACTACGAACTTCTTTGGTATAAAAATAATGTTTCTGGTCGCTTAGTCCCTACTTTCAATCCTGGAGTCCCCCCAGTGGCACAACGGTATGTTTGCGGACTTGCAACGCTAGAAACCGGGTTTATACTCGTGGTGGGCAGAGCACAGATAGCCCATTGTGTAGCTTTGTGCTTAATTACAAACAAACAATCCTGGAGAAAAGACGAATGACGTACAAACTTTTCCTAGACTGTTTAAATAAAATGTCACTTTTCGTAACAGTGTTTTTCGGTTGTTATGTGATCTTTTTATGGTCACAGATCTGTAAGTATTTTCGAAATCTTAACATTTTACATGCTAATTACTAAAATATGATTTTTATTTTATTTTCCAGGACTCTGAGCTTTTCGGACAATTGGGTGGTCAAATGGGTCTCTGGCTTGGAATTTCCCTCGTCGCCTTGTTTGAATGCTTGGAGACCGTAGCACTTCTGGTTCATTTTCTGTGTATGCAAAAGCGTAAAAACGTTTGAAATGTCTTAACTTTTCTTTTTTAAAGAGGAACAGTTTCGACTTATGAACATGCGTGTTTTGTCTGAACTACAAGTAATCTTAAGACGTTGTTGACTATTACTCTTATTCACGCTTTACTGCAAGATACAGTCACATATAGCTTGAAATCGTATTTCTGTCAGTCCCAATGTTATGAACATATTTGTTAGATTATTGGCCGTTATCAGCAAATCCTCAATATATAAGACATTCAGAGAATGTATTTTTGGTAAGAATCCTTACTATGATACAACCTTACAAACTGATTATTTTAATCGCAAAAGTAATCATTTATACAAACATATAGAGCTAATTTAAATCAATGTCTTAATTTTTTTCTCTGAGATTTTTTGGTATGATGATATAGTTGAGTAGACTTGGGAAGATTTTTTTTTCCTACCACTATGAAATATCCGAATCATGTTTTAATAATACAAATAAGTAAAACGTAACTCCAAACACAAACTAAACCCTAAACTTAACATAAACGTGGTGCTTTCACCCTCTCAACTCACTACTTCAGAGGCTTGAACGTTTAATTTTTTAACCGTTTTAGTCATATCGCATATATCAAACAACTTGAAACTGACAAGCAAATAGCTGAGTAAGTTTGCCTTTAATCACTCAGTGTTAAACGACGTGAACAGTGTTTCTTGTCTGATCACTTTTTAGAGTATGTAGACATCGTTCTGGGCAGTTTTCAAATTTTTAAAATATCAATTAATCCATCTCTTTTTAAAAAATGTATTAGCTGCAAAAGTCAAACTGATATG